ATTTGCGTGTTTCCCACACCGCCCTCCCGACGCTGCCACCGCCGCCGCCGCCGCCACGGCGATTAATGATGCCGCTCTGATAGCGCAGCCGCCTGCGAGCGCGCCGACCATAGCCTCGTCGTTTATGATCGACGTGCGGCGAGCGCCGGGGAAGAAGCGAAGTTTGCAGTTAAGAGGGTGCCGAGGTTAATGCCTTTTGGGGCAAGTGAAGGATTATGGGTATATCACGGGGTGGGGCGGCAGTGGCGGAGGCGGCGGCGGCGGCGGCGTTTGGCTGATGGCAGGAGGCCTCTGCTCAGCTGGCTCTGCGAGCGTCGTCGTCTGTTTGCTTTGCTCGGGGCAATGGGAAGGAGCGGGAGAGTGTTTGGGAGGACGGGGGTGCATGGGGGAAGCTGACACGCGCGGGGCTGCGGGGGATAGCGCCGGGAAGTAATTCAGGTAGCCAAGATAACACTATTAATCAGAGAGAGACTGCACCGCTGGGCTGGGAGAGCGAGTCGGAGAGGGCGAGGGGGTGGGAGGGGAGCGCGCGTGCGAGCGAAGCGGAGAGGGAGAGAGAGAGGCAGGCGCAGGAGAGCGAGAGAGAGCAAGAGCGAGGCACGGAGCGAAGGGAGCCGGTTGTGTAACGCTCCGTTTGTCCCACTTCCACGCGGGCCGCCGTCTCCCCCGCGCCGCCTGGCCGTGCGGAGCGCCGCCGAACAGATGCGCCGCCCGCGCTGCCGCGTCCCAGGCGGCGGTCGGTCCGAGGGCGTTCGGCACGGAGGGCCACGGCCCGGCCCTCGTTTAATGAGCGTGTGCGTGCGTGCACGCTCGTGTGTGTGTGTGTATATACACACACACACGTGTACTTCCTGTGCTGGACGTCGGAAACGGTAAACCCGTTGCACAAAGGATTCTTCCCCCGGTGCTCGCTTTCGCTTGCAGTGAGCTCCATCGCATGTGTACTCACGTGCTCACGCACGTGCACTCGCTCACATACACTCGCTCATGTACACTCACGCACACACGCACGAGGGGGGCTGACGCTCAACGGTGCCCACAGACGGGTCCGCGAACCCGCTTGCTGTACCGCCTTCACCGCTCACCTTGCAGCCCAGCGGGTTCGGCAATTTTTGCGCAAATCTCCGTTCGTTCCCAAAGTGTCGGGTCACACGGTGCGTCGCGTCGCCCCCCCCCCCCCCCGCCAGTCCCCAGCTCCCCACCCAGCCACGCCGTGCCCGGCTTCATCTAAGGATTCGAGTGTGGATCAGAGCGCCCAATAACCGTTAGCCTGGGCGCGCACGAGCGTTTAATATTGAACGCCGTGCCGAGCGTCGTGCCGTGCAAACGAGCGGCGCGTCGTCGGTCCGTGCGCTCTGTCAATTTTGGCGCCCTTATTTATTTAAGCGTTCGCGCTCCTTTATACAATAAAAAAAACTCAAACCCACTTGACGGAAAGAATTAGGGCGCCGGTGCCACGTGCGCACGGGAAGAGAGAGAGGGCGGCTCGGGGAGGGGGAGGCTGGGGATGGGGGGGGGCTGGGGGCCGCGCGGTGATCCCATCGCACCGTGGCCGCTCCGGGGGCCACCCCCGCGGGACCCCTTGGCGTGCCGCGTGATGGAGAGAAGCGGCCGCTCGTCCGTCCCTCGCAACCTTGCGGCAGAGCGACTCGCTGGCCGCGTGCGCTTTGATGTCGTGCGGTTTCCCCGAATGCCGTGTCGGATGTTTGACCGTACTTCACCACGCCGGTTACCGCGGGTTTTGAAAATGTGGGGGGGCGGCAGCTATAGGGGACCGGTTTAAATATCACTGGATGTGAGCCGAGAGCCGGGAATCCAAGTCAGGTCACCGGATTTAAAGCGTTAGTCGGCTAACCAATGCGCCTCCGCTCCCTCCCCCAAACAATAATCGCTGTTAGAATTCAATTTAAAAGTGCTAAATTGTGCTTTCTGTGCTGGGCATGATGGCAAATTTTTATAGAACACCCCGATAACACCGAGCTAAAACAACCACAAACAATTAATTGTACCATGCACGCGCGCACGTGAAACACGGAGCGATGGTGATAATATAATAATATAACGAGGAAGCTGCGCATTAGATTTCACATCTTCCCCCCCCCCCCCCCCCCCCCCCCCCCCCCCCCCATCTCACCCACCACGAGCACCAACACCACCCCTGCCCTTTGTAAATTTGGGTACAAGGCGCTGGCGCGCACCCAGCGCGTGCTCATTAGCGCGGGCGTCGCTGCGCTTGTCCTCTTGCCGCCAGCGCAGCAGCCGGCACCTCGCTGCGCCGCGCTCGCCCACGCTGCCGTTGCTCCGTCGTTACCATCACTCAGGGCCTTTCCCGTCTTTGAGGTTCATTGCGGTTATTTCTTTGTGCTCTCTCCTCTCTCTCTCTCACTGGCTCTCTCCGTGTCTCTCGGGCTGGCCGGGAGGGGTTTTGTGTTTTTTTTTTACTTTTGGGTTTGAAGGCCGCGGAGACGAGGGTGGCGCCGTGATGGCCTCCCGCGGGCCCCTCCGCGGCGTGGCGCCGCGCCTAATGACGAGACTTTAGACGCGCGCAGCCCGGCGGGGCACGCTCATTTCATCCCATTTACTTATATCTGTCTCGCTCTCTCTCTCGCCCACCGCCGCTGGTTGGTATTCCGCGCACGGCTCCGGTGTTGCTCACTTGCCCCCACAGGTTGACATCGTCGTCGTCATTATTAGTAAGCGGCGGCAGCAGCAGCAGCAGCAGGGGCAACAGCTGCAGCGGCAGAAGCAGCGGCGGTTGTCATAAACGCAAATCCCACACAGACCGAGGAGTTTTTACTGCCGCTCTTTGCTAATTGGCGTTGGCCGCTAATTATTTGGTTGCAGGTTTTTGCGATTGGCTAAGTGGTGGTGGCATTTCGCGTCGGTTGTGGTTGTTGATAACGGTGGATTGTTGTATTTAGCTGGGATTGTTTGGGACCGAACAGCGTGGCTGGCGACGTGCGGCACGAAAGAAGTTCAACGTACATGACCCTGAAACGGGTGCACTTGTGACTTCTGCGCGCGGTTGAAACAGAATTGGAACAAAGGGGGGGGGGGGGGGGGACCATCGGAGTGGGCCGCGTTGCGTGCGTGTGTGTCATTCGTATTTAATTTGGGAAGGCTCAGCCTGACATCGTGAGGCCGTGCGCTAGGACGTGTGGAAGGGAGGCACGGGTGGGCGGTGGGGGTGGGGGGTGAGCGGAGTAACGGGGGGCACGAGCGGTCGGAGCTGGTTGTGGGCGAGCGACAGGAACGAGAGCCTCGCCACACGTCCCGCCGGCAACTCCGCGCGTCAAATTTCTACGTTTGAAAAACTTCCCTCCCTCCCTCCACCGTCCTTTCCCGAAGTTTGTTTTTGATTATTTTGCGCTTGCCGTGTTTTTTTTTCTTTCAGTGGTCTCCCCCCCCCCCCCCACCGTGCCGATTCGGTTTGTCTGCCCGCCCGCCCGCCCGCCGGCTCGCCCGTCCGCGGCGATATCCGGCACAGTCGGTCTCGTGTTTAATGAACGCGGGGGCCCTCTCCCGTGGAAGATTCGGCCAGGGCTTGATGATGGATGTTGCCCTAGGAAAGCGCGCAGCTTGCTGCCATGCAGCACGAGCCCGGCGCGCTGTCGTGAGTCTCCGTGGGGAGGGGAGAGCGGTTGGGGTGAGTGGGTGGGAGGAAGAGGAGAGGGAGGGGAGAGGGAGGGAGGGAGTAGGCTTCGCAGTCCGCTGGGACCGCCGAACCAGATCAGGAAATATGAAGAGAAGGGGCGATGTGAACCGCGCCTGGCGCGAAGTGGATGCCGCCGTAGCGACCTCGCTCCTGGCGCCGTGTCGCGAGCTAAGAGAAATAAAATGTCTCGCGCGTCACGGAGGAGACCCAGCTCTGCGCGCGCTGGTGGCCGGGGCGATTCGCGGGGCCGATAGTCCAGGGTCGTTGTGATCGGGCAGCGGCAGCTTCCCTCGGTTTGAACGGTCGCACGTGGTGGCTTAACCTGGTGCCTAATTAACCGCTGTAGTTTGCCCGCGGTGTTTCCTTTCACGACTAAGCCGTCGAGGAACGTTTTAAACGAACGTGCAAATGGGCGCGTGCTTCGATTGTGGACCCTTCACTCACTCCGAGCGATGGGAGATTAACGCCACCGCGCTCCGCACCGTCGTGCCAGCGGAGCGGTCGGCCGACCCGGCCTCCCCGCTGCGCCCCCCTCAACGTGGCCGTGACACCCGGCCTTCCGGCGTGCGAGACTCGGATCGCCCGAGCCACTGCTGCCCACGAAAGCGAGAGGGAGAGCCCCCTTTCTATTTATTTTTGGGTTTGAGCGCGGAATTATATACGTGTCGTTCAACCCGCCACCACCGAGGTTTCGCCAGTAATCACAACTGGCTGTCGCCCGATGAGGCTAGTTACTGGCGAAACGTTGTACTCAGATTGTAAATGTTGTGGCTTTACACCGGTGTGCTGTACCAGTAACGAATTGGCACGATCTGTTTGCGTGACAAACCTTACTAGTTGGCTGTGTCGGGTGGTGGTGGGTTTTAACGACACATTTATACGTTTACGCGATCTAACCCAGCAGAGAAAGAAAGCTGTGTTATGATCGCGAAAGCGTGATTGAGTGATTTGACGCACGTGCAAGCAGTGGGAGGGGGTGGGAGGGGTGGCGGCGTAGAGGCCGGGAGGCAGGCTGGGTGCCGACGGCCGGTGAGAGTGCCGGGAGTTGAGCCTCCGGGCGGCACTTTTGGCGAGGAGGCGCCGGGTTTCGGCGGGCGTTTGCATGCCGCCTGGCGCGTGCTCGGCGTGGCGCGGGAGGCTCACGTGGCACCGAGCCAGCTGGGGGGGGGGGGAGCGCGCCCGGGGATTTATCATCATTATTTTATGCAAAAAGCAATTTGTCTATTATGCTCGTTACTACTGTTGCTGCTGCTGCTGCTGCCGCCGGTGTGCCCGTTGATTAACGCGTGCGTGTGGTTTTTCTTTCTCTCCCCTGCTCCCACCACCCTTGTTTTTTGTGTTGCAGTGTGACAGCGACAGTGACGTGGAGGATAAGGTAGGAAGTTCGCTCGTCTTTATTTTTAACCCGCGGCCCTCTCTCCCGAGATTCCAATTAATCAGCCTCTCTGTGGTGTGACAATTTAATTTTCAACATGCCAACAAAACAATAATGAGCTCGCGGCAGCGGCAGCAGCAGCAGCAGCAGCACCGGCGGCGACGGCGGTGGCGGCACTTTGTAGGGAAGACGTTCACACAAAACTCGTGCCCACGCTGCATATTCCACAACATTATTATTAGCGTCCCCCGCACGTCACAATATTGTGTCATCGGAGAGAGTGCGATTGTTGGAAAGTTAATCCACAAATGGTGGCGGTGGGGTTTGGTGGGGGAGAGGCTGCTTTGCGGGGGTCCTGCCGTAATCACGGAGGCCGCGTTGAGGTTGCCGATATTCCTCGCAGTGCTTGCGGCCAGGGGCCCGTGCCATGATGACGACGACATCGGCAGCACGAGGCTTGTTGTCGACAAGCCGTCGTCACGGTCTCTTGAGGTCAAGTGAGGTCAGGAGGTCGCCGCGGCCCGTACCGTTGACCCCTCCGCACCTCGCCACCACTTCCTCCCGCACGCTCGCTCGCTCCCGTAGTCGCCGCAGGTTCGACGCCTCACTCCACGGGGTCCGCAGTCTCGCCACCGTCAGGCCTACACGGTTGGCACGTCCTTCGAAGGTCCCCACTCGTGCAGTCCCATCATCTCCTTTGTCTGGCTCGAGGTCTTCACCTGCGCCATCGATCCTCGGTTACCTGACCTCCTCCGCCCTGCGCACGCAAATATTCTCAAAACCACAAAACAGCTGAGAGCAATTCTTACAGAGCGCAGCATTGAAACGACGAATATTTAAAGGTTGTGTGTTTCGTTTTATTCATTATTTAAAAGACAGCCGTTGAACTCGAAGGTCCTTGATGTAGAGCACGGGCTTGCGGAGGTCAGGGCCGTGAAAACCCACAGGAGAATCCGTGTGTCTCCCCTGCCCACCCCACGGTCGTGCACAGCCAGCCAGCGTTGTGCCACGAGCACCGTTGTGCAAGCAGTACACATGTGTGAGCGCGCGTGTGGGGAGACAAAGGCGGCCGGGCGTGGTGCTGGCCACCCACCCCCTCGTGCGCCGTGCCGGCCTTCATAGGTGCTACTCGCTAACATCACTTGCCCCAACAGTCTGTTACAGGAGACAAAGGCGGTCTGTGCATGGTGCTGGCCACCCCCCCCCACTCCCTTGCGCTCCACAGTACCGCCCTTGAAAGGTGCTGCTCGCTCACAGCACTTGCCCCAACAGTCTGTTAAGGCTACATACGGACGGGAGGTGGTGAATCTAGATTGGAAGTTTTCGTTACTGCAGGGATCCATACTCTTGGGTTCTTTGGGTAAAGTCACGTGGGTATAAAATATGATTTAATTTAATTTATTTTATTTGATACCTACGTGACTTTACCGAAATAACCAAAGGGTATGGGTGGTGGTTATTTGGACGCGTGGGCCCACGTTTCGGCAGCGGAAGCGCAGGTGTGCGTGCGTGTGTTGTTTTTTCCTCCCCCGCCCTCGCGTCCTCGTTTCCAGGGTTTCTCCCGAAATAGGATTCGCTGGTTCTGCTTCACAAAAGGCGCGTTCAAACACGACTCGTAATTGACGCGCTCGCAGCCTTTAACGGCGGCTGCGGATGGCGGCACAAGCTCACCGCCGCCGCGGCGGTGGCGGTGATTACACGCGATATCTCTCTCTCGGCATCGGCCGCCGCCGCCATCAATGCTCGCGGGAATCGTTTATGCAAAGGCCGGCCCGCCCGCTCTGGTCACAAAATCGCGAGGCCCTATTGGCTAATGTCCAGCGGAAAGATTATCTGGGCCATTGACCGCCGTGTGAGAGAGAGCGGAGGGAGGAGGCTGCGTGGTAGTGGTGCCGGGGGGGGGGGGGGGGCGGTGGCGGGGTGGAGGAGGAGGCTGCTGGGGGTGGGCAGGGAGGAGGGGGGGCGATGAGAGGCGGCGGCACGTTGGGGGAGGGCGGGCGGAGCGCGAGGGGGTTATTGGGCACGCCGGTCGTATCGCTATCACTGAGAGGCTCCGGCAGTAATGGGAGTCGTGGATCATTCGTAGGCACACGATAACGACCGGGCGCTCTGAAGCGCACGCCACTCAATCACGAGCGGGTGGGCGGGCGGGCGGGCGGGCGGGCGGGCGGGCGGGTGAGCTGGCGGTTCGTCCACATTCGCAATGCGCTCGGCACGCTGCCTGGGGTCTTGTTTATTGCACGGGCTAGCGTACGCATTTACGCGTGTGTGTGCACGTCAGTGCGTGTGCACGTGCGCGTGTGCGGGTCTGCGATGACCCTAAATAGCTCTCCGGCTCAAAATATTCAATCCGGCGCCTCGTCGTAACCGTGTGAGAGACCGTATTGGAATTCATCGTTTTTGCGGCGGTAATCTGAGGTGGCGGGTGGGAACTTTTTTTTTGTCGTCGTCATGACCAAATCATCATTTTTCACCCATAACAGCAGCTGTAAACGATCGTGTCCGGCTTGTGGGCCTTGACGGCTGCCCACACTTCTCGGCCCTGCGCTCGTAAGCGACGTCTCGGGGTTCGCGGCGTCCAATTTGTTGCTCGACAGGAGATCGGCAGCAGCTATTGGAAGCGCGTCGCGCACTTCACCCGAGAGCGTCACGGCGAGGGACGTGGCGACCTCGGGGCCGGCGGGGCCGCCCCCCGCCGTGACCCCATGTGCGCGCCATCGGCCGGCGCTCCCGCTGCCCCCCGCCCCCCCCCCCGGCCCCCCACGGTTTCTCTCCGCGACGCTAAATCCGCGCAGTACGGCGCGGATTTTTTACGGCCCTCGATTTTTTTTTGTTTGCGACGCGTAGGGGGTGGGCACCAGCTGCTCCCTCGCGCCCCATGCGGCAGCCGCCAGCCCGCGGCGCTGGCGCATCGTCCCGTCGGACAGCTGCAGGCGAGAAATCTGCCTGCTGCGCCTGTTTTGGCCAGACCCACGCGGAGTGAGCTCTCGGATTGCTGGGGGAAGCACGCAGCTGGAGGGAGAAGGGGATCGATGGGGGGGTGGAGGCGGTGGAGTGTGGTTTGTGGGGGGGGGGGGTGCGCTGTTGGTGTCGGTAAGGGGGGGGGGGGGCCCGCTCGCGTGCGTTACGTTCGTCGGATTAATTTTGTGTCGCGCGGGCGTCATCGCGTTGTCTCGCCGCTCCGCGCTCACCTACTTTACTCTCTCGCCCTTCGCCGCACGCGCGAGAGCCATATTTGGATAAATTGACCGGCCCCGGCTACGTGACGCATGCCCACAAGCATTTCCGTCGCGTCCGCTGGCCTGACGGCTTCAGTCACCGCCGCCACCGCCGCGTTCAGGGTAATGGGGACGATTTGAGCCGCCGCCAACACCGCCACCACTACGCGCGGCTTCTGGCGTGTCGGCACAAACGCGCCGAGATAGATGACTGAGAAATACACGCGCTTTTTTTGTAGAGTAGGAAGAGAGCGCGCGCAGTTGTACGGGGGAGCGGAGTACTTTACACGAGAAGCATTATCAGCGGAGAAGGGCGCGCGCTGCGTCTGCGTGTCAGAGACACAGCCGCGACTTTCACTCCTGCAGAGGCCCGTGTTATTTTTTGTACCGCACACTGCCGCCATTCTTCTCAGCTTCGACTCTCCTCCTGTAAAGGACTCCTGCGGACGGATGGGCCGGCTGTCGCGAATTCTCCCAACTGGGTAATGCGCGGCTCGTTTCGCCGCCGTGGGTAGGGCTCCCTCCGTTTGCAGATTGGGGGGGCGGTGGTGGGGGGGGGGGGGGGCGGTGGTGGGGGGCCGGTGGGGGCAAAGGGGGGGGGTGGTACGTTCCTTGCCCCACCTGCGAAGGAACCCGCCGCAGCTGGTGGATTACGGCACAAAAATCGATTTCGAACGGCCGCATGTCCCCCACCCCGCCCCTCCTCCCCCCGAATGCTGCAATGCAGTTCACGGCGAGGTGCAACCGCCACAGCCACCGCTCCGCCGCATCACGCGCAGCCACCCGTCCATTAATGGGTTAATGTTCGGCTCCAGCTGTGAAATCTATGCCCCAGTTAGGCAGGAAGTCTGCCTACCGGGCACGTAATGATGCATGGATTCATTGATTGAAATTGATTCTCACGCTCATCAAATTGCGCGCGCGAGAGCGGATTATTTTACGGATTTGCACACATTTCATGCAAACGATATGAAAACGTTAAATTTAGCCTCGGGCAAACGGGGCTGCGCGAACGAGACGGAACAATCACAAATTGACGTGCGGGGGAGGCGGAGCAAAGTGATCGATCGTTGAATCGAGCCGCGACGGATCTGTGACATACTATCAGATCGATCGCTCGGTCAAAACTTTATCTCTTTCAAGGGTCGCAGGTTGGAGTTCGCCGAGGTCGTAGTACGGGCGGTAGGTGGGTGACCCTTTAACGGGCCGCACGCGTCGAGGGAACGAGCGGCACCCCGGAGGTCCTGGCGTGGGAACGTCGCGGCACGGGGCAAACCCGGCTGGCGGCACGGGAACAGCGAGCTCTCTTGTTTTCACCGGCGCTCCGTCGCCCCCCACCCTTCCCCCCCCACCCTCCCACCCCCCCCCCCCCCCGGCGTCGTTGATATCACGCACGCACGCAGAGACAAGCGACGCGCATTCAAACTCCCGGTTTCGCGCCGACGTCGCGAGCACGACGTGCCGTGGCACGCCGCTCCGAACTCCCCCATGAGCATTTTTTGCGCCTAACGTTTTTGAAACGTTCTTAAGTCGCTCGGGTTTAGCGAGGGTGGTAATCTCCCGCCCCGGGGCTGACATCCCTGCCAACAAACGGCTCTCTCTCGGCGCTTTTATTTTAGAGCGCCTCGCGCGCTTCTGAAACTTTTCTGTCATCGCCGTACGAACCGCGTCAAAAAAAATTGTGCAGACGCGTTCGAGCTGTGATCTCGAGACATCGCTCCAAAGTAGCTCACCGCGACGTTCGCCGAAGCGTTCCATCTCTCAACAAGCCGCTGGCTCCTCGGGCGCTTGGTGACTTTACGACGCCAGCAGCGTTGCAGATTGTCGTACACCTGGAGTGCGGTGGGGGTTGGGGGACAGAACGTCAACGTTAAGAGACGTCGAGGGATAGCGCTACGAGCGACGTTTAGTTCCGTGGTGGTTTCTGCCACTTAATCGGGGCCCCGTTCGTTCGTCTCCGGTTTAGCAGGTGTGAAGCCGTTGAGACTCTCCGGGGCGTCTTGCGCAGCGCTCGCCTGTGTCGACGAGCAACAAACAACGGGCGATGATAAATCATCGTTGTCTACGCGCGGTGGAGGCGCGCGCAGTTGTCGTCGTCGTCATCGTGAAACGCAACGCGCCGTTAAGCACACGCGCGAGTTTACCATTAATCGTGCATTACGTCAGCGGTGTGGCTGCACGTTGCCACCGAACCATCGTGCATTGTCGTGGGCGCACCGCGGGTAGAAGCCACGTGTAACCAGAACCCCATCCTGCGTCTCCGTTTGGAGGAAGTCGGCAGCGGAGAGCTCTCTTCCCCGCCATGCCAATGTGGAATTTCCACCGGTGGCTCGGTTGGAGCACGGGGGACGCGTTGACCTTGAACCCCGCGTCATTTTCAAACTGACGACCGGCGGAGGCGAGTGGGTTGCCGACAGCCGGCGTCGCCAGAGCTGGTGGCTCGAAATTCCCAGCCCGAGATCCGGCGGCCACGACGACTGTGGCGGCCTTGCGGCTTCTCGCCTCCGCGTGAAAATTTCAGGGGCCCCGTTGGCAGCGGCGCCGGCGAGCAGCCCGACCGCCGCCGTCAATAACGCGGCCGCGCGGCCGAACAAGAACACGGGCGAAGGTTTTGCCGCTGCCTGTTCCGTGTTTCGGCCGAGAGTTATCGATAAAAACCACGACACGACAAAGGCGGCCGTGTGTGGTGCTGGCCACCCACCCCTTCGTGTGCCGTGCCGGCCTTCATAGCTGCTGCTCACGAACAGCACTTGCCCCAACGATCTGTTCAGGCTATATGGGGCACCGCAGGAACAAAATGCTGCAGACCCCCCCCCACCTCGCGCGCCAACGATTTTCAATATTTTGACTGAGAGGCCGCCCTTGGAGACTGATAAGCGCCTTTTTCCATTGGGCGAGACCTTTAGATATCGAGGCGTTATCGCATTTGACTTTCGCTAATTGAAGATCTAATTAATACGCGCGTCCGCGTGTCGGACGCAACACGGATAACAAGAAGCCACCGCGGCGGTGAGAGAAAAGCAACTCGAACAGCGTGCGAGCGTTCGTTATTGCGTTGGTTTACGTTACGTAATTAATTAGACCGCTGGCGGTAATGAGAGGGATATTATCGCTGTGATGCGAGTCTGTGGCCGGCTGACGATGATGAGCGGGTTGCCGAGCGGGGCTTCCGTCGCCGGTTGCGGGACGCTGGCCCTGATAATTGCTGCCATCGTCGACCGCCCGCTTAGGGGGCAGGGGTCGTGTCCGTCGAGGGATTGCGGGAGATCATTCATCGATTTGCCGAGGTCGTCGTTGATCGCGGCGGTCGTCCGCGAGCGAGCGGGGGGCGGTTGGCGGAGCGGGGTGGAGGCGGGGAGGGGACAGTCTGGCGGCGAGCGAGTTGGTTCCCTGCCAGCGCTCGTGGTTTAACTATTAAAACGATTTATTATTTTACCAGGTAAGTAATGCTCACTGAGCTGCGTATAGCTCTTATTTCAGAAGCGGGCCTGGCTATCGCAAACCATAGCTCAACGAAGTCGTGGCTTTTCGCGTGGGAATTTACAGCAGCCAAATACTCTATAAACGCGTGGTGATGTCAATTCTAAATAGGGAGGGAAAAACGGATGGCCCAGAAAAAAATCCACCCGACCACGGGGAGAGCGAGACACGCACATTTCAAATATACAGTAGCAGGCGTCGGGGGTCGGGATCGAACCCACTACCTCCTGTATACCAGGCGAGGTAGTTAACATCTCCTAGCCACCGTGGCGCCACGGAGTAATTTGTCATCGCCGGGCCGGACGGATCCTGAATGTGCACGGCGATGCTTTAGGGGGACAAGTAAACCCCCCCACCCGCCCGCCCCCCGCCCCCCGCCCCATCCCTAAACCCCCGAGGGAGTTCCCGGTAATCAAACTCTTCAATAAACTGGGCGCCGTTATCCGAGGCCAGGAAATTAGAGACTCAACAAGCGCCAGGCCGACCCGAGGCCACGCAGGCTGCAGGCCTTCAGATTTTAATAATGAAGACGTGACCCCCATAATGCACCCCTAATAGCGCAGTTGCCCTTTCACCTTCAGTTATCCCAGAGGAAATAATTATAAAATGCGTGTGTTTGTGCTTGTGTGTGGGGGGGGGGGGAGCGGTCACGCAGTGGTTAGCGCACTGTGCTGCAAGCTTGGCAAACCTGAGTTCGATTGCCGAGTGGCAGGTGGAGTCCAACATTGCGAGTATTGCAGGATCCGAAAATGAATACGGAGGTGCGCGGACAAAGCAAATCAGGCAGCTTAAATAAAAGATAACGGGATGAATGAATGGATAAATATACATGAATGCGTACACATGTATTATACATAAATGAACACATGCATATTTAAGGAGGTAAATTAAACATTTAAGGATAAACAGGTAAATATAGATGGCGAAATGGCCGGTGAGAAAGGTGGGCAAGACGGGCGTATTGATGCATTTATTCAGCGATTCCATAAACTCGTGGACCACGGCGAGAGCCGGCGATAATCCTCGCACTGGATGCGAGGCAGGAGGCAGGAGGAGGGATGGCGACGGCGTGGAGGAGGAGGCCTCCATCCAGCAGCGGGTAGACCTTGGCTCAGGGCGTGATGGTGACGGGGTGGGAGATCTTGTTTGGTTCTTTCGGTAAAGTCACGTAGAATGAGAATAAAATAAGACAAAATAAGGTGGGAGATGTAAGGGCGGCGCTTTGATATTGCTGCTGCAGCTGCTGCTGCCGCTGCTGATGATGATAATCGTCATGGTTGATGATGGAACTGCTGATTCTACTGCTGCTGTTGATAGTACTGAGCATTTATTGTATCATGGAGTTGCTGATGATGATGATGCTGTCGTTTCTGCTGCTACCACTGAAGATGGTGATGATGCTGCTGTGGCCACTGACAACAACTCTGACGCTGCTGCTGCCGATGATGATGATGTTGATGATGTTGCCATGTTAATGCCGCTCGTTAGACCGCTCTCTCCCTTGCCCTTGGCCAGGGCCGCGCGACTGCGTGCCGCCTCCACTCAGCGTCTCGCGGGTGATGGGGGGGGGTCCATTGGCACTGACACCCCCCCCCCCCTCCGGGGTCCTCCACCCACACCCCCCATCAACTCTCAACCTCCTCCTGCACCGATCACTCAGTCCCACCACCACCACACCCACCCGACCCACCCTCCACCCACCTCGCTCCCCGTCCGCCACCCTTCGCTCCCAGCTGTGACCCCTTGGCTCCGAGCTGACCTGCCATGCCCCCTCCAGCCTCCGCCACATCCCTGCGTTGCCCGCGAACCCCAATTACTACAGCTGTTGGCACACGTCATCCCGAGAGGGTGGGAGTCTGGTGGGGCGGTGGGGAGGGAACGAGGGGAGGGGTAAGCAGGGATTTTGCGGTAGGGGAGGAGGGGGGGCACTGCTCAAGAATTTCCGAACCTTTGAAGTGGAGCCGCCGGGCGGGAGATCAGAGGGGCCCGGCGAGGTCTGGAAGCGTTTGTCGGGCGGCGAAATCTGCGTAAGATTTCTGATTGTTATCGCGTGTGTCCGCCGCGCTTCTAAAGGCAGATTACGCGGATTTGCTGCCGGGATGTGCTCAGCGAGGGGTCGCTCCCCGGGCCGCGCTGGGGCTGCGCGGGGCCACGGCAATTCAGAGGGGGAGGGGTGGCGTGGGGGTCCGGATAGGAGGCGGGGGCGAGGGGGGGACACCCCCAGCGGAGGCGGCCCGTGCCCACACCACCTGCACGGCGTTTAAATAAACCAGCAGCGAACCCCTTACCACATGCTCTTTCATCGTTATGCAGGAGGAGCGGATTTCAAATTTCCCCCCGCCAGGCGCCCACGCGCGCCGTCTCTCACTCGCTCTCTCTTCCCAGCCATTTCCCATGCTACATTTATGGATTAATAAGCGCGGAGGTAAACGCGCCGCGGCTATCGCCGTGGCGTGGCCCCATCGAAAAGGCCCGTTTGATTCGTACGCACCGGCGGCAATTGCCCCCGCTGGCCGGCTTGGCAGAGCCGTCAGCGGCGGCAGCAGGAGCAGATGGAGAGCTGGGGGCGCGGGGAGTGGGTGGTGGGCACCTGTGTGTAAGAGGGGGAACTACGCGTGTTCCTGTTGAGTGCTTACGCGCGTGCGTGGTGCTGGCCAACCCTGCCCCCTCTCTCGTGTACTGTGCCGGCCTTCATAGGTGCTGCTCGCTAACAGCACTTGCCCCGAAAGTCCGTTAAAGCTATGGGGATGTGGCGTGGGGAATCTTTGTCTTTGTGTGTATGCGAGTGCACATTTGTGTGTGTGTGTACATGAGTGAGTGCACACGTGCGTACGTGTGTGCGCGCGCGCGCGCGCGCGCGCGTGTGTGTGCATGCGCATGGGCCCGGTTCCGCACGCACACACACTGGTTTTGGAATCGCACAGGGCGCCCACGTGCGTTTGATGGCAAATTGGAAGCATCTGTTGGAGACACGCAACACGGGCGTATCGTTTACACTGCGGAGCCGTGGTCTGCGTGGACTCTAACGTACACACAGCCACGGGCATGTTGCGCCATCGAATAAGAGACTCACTTACAGAGACCCCCTCCCCATAGACTTAAGTAGAGACCCATAGAATCGCACAGAGACCTGCAAAGTCACGTGGAGACCTACAGAAGCCCGTAGACTTGCATAGAGACCCACACCATCACATGGAGGCCCCACTGAGAAACTGGAATGAGCTTGGCAGTTGTCTTCATTATCAGCACTGTCTCCTGGAGAAAGGCGATTCCAGCCCACGTAGCTTCCCCGGGATACGAACTGGTGCAGCATCAGCATCACTACCATCATCATCGCCATCATCGTCGTCACGACCATCACTCGCTTCCAGCGCTCTCCAATTAGTCCAACCACACACGGCACCTGAGACTGGATAGCCCGTGGCGGAGTTCGTCGCTTCCTCAACCTAGCTGACGAGGAACACTCCTCGCCTCTTCCCGTGTCATCTTCATCACATACACACATCAGTAGCAGCAGCAGCAGCAGCATCATCACCAGCGAAAGCAACTGCTTCACCATCAGTCATCAATCGGCAGGATCGTGCGCTGGAGGATGGTAAGGTGATGTGGGGATTGGTTGGGGGGGATGGAGGAGAGGTCGAGGGAAGGTGGTGGGGGAGGGAGCCGTCTGCGCTCTGGTGCGGCCTGGTCTCAGATCTCATTACCCTGACTGACAGTCGGGCGCAGCCGTGCAGCGGAGTGGGCTCACGCACTTACACTCACAAATTCCCACTCACACACTCACACACTCCCACTCACACACTCACACACTCCCACTCACACACTCATACTCATACACTGACACACTCTCACACTCACAAACTCCGACTCACACCCTCACACTCAAACACTCCCACTCACACACTCCCATATCACTCTCACACACTCCCACTCACACACTCACACACTCTCACACTCACAAACTCCCACTCACACACTCACACTCTACACTCACACTCCCACACACTCACACATTCACACACTCCCACATTCACACACTCCCACATTCACACACTCCCACACTCACACACTCCCACTCACACACTCCCACTCACACACTCACACTCTCACATTCCTACTCACACACTCACAAACTCCCACTCACACACTCCCACTCACACACTCACACACTCCCACTCACACACTCACACACTCCCACTCACACGCACTTACACTCACACACTCCCACTCACACACTCACGCACTTACACTCACAAACTTCCACTCACACACTCCCACTCACAGACTTGCTCGCGAACACTCGCACGCTCACTCTCGCTTACGCACACTCATAGGCTCGCCCGCACACTCGCTTACCCCCCACACGCTCACGCCGTTCACTTACACACACCCACTCGCTTGTGCACCCACTCTTAGCTTACTCAATTTTACGCACACACCGACTCGCTCGCTAACACACAGGCACACTGACTCCCACACACGCACACACTGACTCCCACACGCGCACACACTGACTCCCACACGCGCACACACTGACTCGCACACACACACTGACTCCCACACACGCACACACCGACTCCCACACACGCACACACCGACTCCCACACACACACACTTACTCCCACACGCACACACTGACTCCCACACGCACACACTGACTCCCACACACGCACACACCGACTCCCACACGCACACACTGACTCCCACACGCGCACACACTGACTCCCACACACGCACACACTGATTCCCACACACGCACACACTGACTCGCACACACACACTGACTCGCACACACACACACACACACTGACTCCCACACACGCACACACCGACTCCCACACACGCACACACCGACTCCCACACACGCACACACCGACTCCCACACGCACACCGACTCCCACACACACACACTGACTCCCACACACACACACACTGACTCCCACACACGCACACACCGACTCCCACACGCACACACTTACTCCCACACGCACACACTGACTCCCACACGCACACACTGACTCCCACACACACACACTGACTCCCACACGCACACACTGACTCCCACACACACTGACTCCCACACACACACTGACTCCCACACACGCACACACTGACTCCCACACGCACACACCGACTCCCACACGCGAACACACTGACTCCCACACACACACACACTGACTCCCACACACACACACACTGACTCCCACACACACACACACTGACTCCCACACACGCACACACTAACTCCCACACACACTGACTCCCACACGCACACACTGACTCCCACACGCACACACTGACTCCCACACACGCACACACCGACTCCCACACACGCACACACCGACTCCCACACGCACACCGACTCCCACACACACACACACTGACTCCCACACACACACACTGACTCCCACACACACTGACTCCCACACACACACACACTGACTCCCACACACGCACACACCGACTCCCACACACGCACACACCGACTCCCACACGCACACCGACTCCCACACACACACACTGACTCCCACACACACACACACTGACTCCCACACACGCACACACCGACTCCCACACGCACACACTGACTCCCACACACACACACTGACTCCCACACGCACACACTGACTCCCACACACACTGACTCCCACACACGCACACACTGACTCCCACACGCACACACCGACTCCCACACGCGAACACACTGACTCCCACACACACACACACTGACTCCCACACACACACACACTGACTCCCACACACGCACACACTAACTCCCACACACACTGACTCCCACACGCACACACTGACTCCCACACGCACACACTGACTCCCACACACGCACACACCGACTCCCACACACGCACACACCGACTCCCACACGCACACCGACTCCCACACACACACACACTGACTCCCACACACACACACTGACTCCCACACACACTGACTCCCACACACACACACACTGACTCCCACACACGCACACACTGACTCCCACACACGCACACACTGACTCCCACACACGCACACACTGACTCCCACACACACACACTGACTCCCACACGCACACACTGACTCCCACACGCACACACTGACTCCCACACACGCACACACCGACTCCCACACACACACACACTTACTCCCACACGCACACACTGACTCCCACACACACACACTGACTCCCACACACACACACTGACTCCCACACACACACTGACTCCCACACACACACACACACTGACTCCCACACACACACACACACTGACTCCCACACGCACACACTGACTCCCACACGCACACACTGACTCCCACACACACACACACTGACTCCCACACACACACACTGACTCCCACACACACACACACACTGACTCCCACACACGCACACACTGACTCCCACACACACACCGCTCGGCCGCCTCCGGGAGCTCTTCCTAATGTGCCGGTGTCTGCACAGCTTGAGGTCTCTCACTGCAGCCGCCCACTCAATATCCCGCACCCCCCCCTCATCTCTCTCGACGCTTCCCTCCTCTGACACCCGCCCCTCTTGGCCGGGCCCCGTGCTCCGGGGAGTCGCTCTGCGGGGACGCGGTGGTGGCCCAACCCGTGTTTGTTTGGCCCTGCACGCTCCACACCGCCCGCCGGAATCGGGTCGATCGGTTGATGCCTCCTCGTCCGCTCCCCCGCCGTGGCCACCGTGAGCGGAACGAGGCCTGTTCCCACCACCTCCTCGTCCTCCACCTCCTTCACTTCCTCGCCCCCGCGGTGCCGCCACCCAGCCGTCGCGCTAATTCCACCGCCGAGGGTCAGCGCTTTAGGGTTTTGATGACTTCGGGCGACGCGGGCGTTGTTGGTGGTCGTCACTACGATAAGAAGCCAATAATGTGTCCCGCGTGTGACGTCACTTCACATGAGGCCCCCCCCCGCGTGACGTCACTCCACATGAGGCCCCCCCCCGCGTGACGTCATTCCACATGAGGCCCCCCCGCGTGACGCCCCTCCACATGAGGCCCCCCCGCGTGATGCCCCTCCACATGAGGCCCCCCCCCCCCCGCGTGACGTCCCTCCACATGAGGCCCACCCCCCCTCATTAATATTCATGAGTGGGTGAATTTTTACGCTAACGCAGAGGAAGGTCGAGTATGACGTTTCTTTGCAGAAATATAAATTTTCGCAGCACAGTGCTACATTCGTGCGTGACGTCACTGCAAGAGCCCCCCCCCCCCTTTGCATTAGTATTCATGTCCGCGTGTAAATTTACACGAACGCACAATAATCATGAGCGGGTGACGTCACTCCACATGCCGCACCCCTCCCCAATAACCATTAGCGGGTGACGTCACTCCACATGAGGCAACCCCCCTAATTCATATCATGAGTTGAACACCCGTCCTTGGACGGGCAAAAAAGATCGTTGTTAAAATAATAATCAGAAGTAGTAGCGGCAACGTGATTATCAACAGCAGAAACATCTGTGTCGTCATCTTTGTCATGGTCGTGATCGTCTGCAGCAGCAGGAAACTGCATCATCATCGTTAGGAGTCTTACAATCTGCAGCAGCAGCATTATCATCAGTACAGTAGCTACTTCATCAGCAGCAGCAGGATGATGATGAAACACGCGCTGCGTCATCCTCGCCATTGCCAACTAGTAACGGCGTCGTTCGCGACGGACGAGCAGGCGCGAGCGCTTGCTGCTCCATCTTTCTGCTCCATCTCCTCCCTCTTGTTTGCCGATCTCCTTCACCGTC